GTATTCGGAGGATGAGGTCCTTATTTTCCCCTGATCCAAATGCGATCCCGTCGAGAGCAGACCTGGTATCGCAGCAGACAAGCAAGGGGCAGAAACCATCTGCTTCTTCCGCTACGAGAAGGGCAGCAAGAAGGGCTATTAGTTCAGCCTGAGTGGAGGATGCCCCGTCAGAAACTCTGAGAGACAGTTTGATAGGCTCAGGGACATCAGGACGGGAGATGTAGACACCAGCCCCGGCCCTACCTGTAGCGGGGTCAACAGAACCATCAGTGTAGAGGACGACCCTACCTGGGGACCAGTGAGCGATCCTGGAGAGGTGGTATTTGCAGAGAATAACAGGGTTCACCTGGGATTTCGGGAGCGGTCCACCGAGGGCAATCACTTCAGGTTGAAAATCCAGCCAGGGAGAAGGAGACGAACCAACAGCAGGGGTGACAACAATATCAGGCAGGAGGTCGTGTTCCTGAAGGGCTCGGATGAGTGACCCTCGCCACTGTCTTCTAGATGGAGGTCGGTCTCGGACAGCAGGAGTCAAGTTGGTTTGGACATAGTTGCCCCGAGGATCCCGTAGAATGGAAACGGCAGTTTTTAGGTAAAACTCCTGGACACGATCCTGTAAGGGGGAAAGACCAAGTTCGGTATATAGAGAAGTAGAGCGTGTCCACTGAGGAGCCCCAAGGATGATACGAGCAGCTTTCCTCTGGATAACTTCGAGACGGTTGACAGCAGTCCGACTAATGTTGACGAGGGCAGGGGCGGCGTAGTCGACACAGGAACGGACAAAGGACTTGTACATGGTGAGAAGTACAGGGATGGTGGCACCAAGGGAACCCCTGCACATGGTAGAGAGGGGAGCGAGACGCCGAAAGCATATGTCTCGAAGATAGCGGACTTCAGGGATCTGACAACGTGTGCGAGTTACATACACACCCAGGTATTTTGTCTCATTAACCCAGTCCAAGGGCGTTCCTGATAAGAGAAGGGGTGGAGGTACAACACGACCGTGCCACATGGCTTTTGTTTTCGCAGTTGAAAGAAGGAAACCAAGTGAATCACACTCTCTGGAGACCAGATCAAGGGCTTCCTGCATGCTGAGGTAGTCAGGGGCTTGGAGGAGGACATCGTCGGCATATCCTGAGTGGACAACTTCTGTCGGCCACGGGAGAGATGCAATGGAGTGCATGAGAGTGTTAAACAAGGTGGGACTCAGGACTCCACCTTGAGGGGTGCCGAGGTTCATTTCTTGAACAGGAGACATAGAGCCTTCAACGCGAACCCGGGTCTGACGTCCAGTGAGGTAAGAGGCGATCCATTGTAGAAGTCTCCCTTTAACACCTAACCGCGCAAGTTCAGCTAAAATGAGGGCAGGCTGAGCCGTATCAAAGGCTCCCTTGATATCAAGGAAGACGGAGATGCGAGCAGTCTGATTGCAATAAAAGGAAGCAATGGAGTGTGCTGTGCTGCGATGTTGAATGAAACCATTGAGGGAGTTGTGGAAGCCGCCTATGGTGTGAAGAAGGCGACGTTGGAGTATCCTCTCCATCATCTTGCAAACACAGGAGGTAAGACTAATGGGTCGATATTTCCCAGGATCTCCCGGCTTAGGGATGGGGATAATAGTGGCATTTTTCCAGTTGGACGGGAGAACCCCATGTTCATAAGACATATTGTAGAGAGCAAGCAAGGGGCCGTTAGGAATATTAGTACAGGCGTTGAGGACGGAGTAGGTTATCTGATCATCCCCAGGAGAGGTGTCTTTTCTAGAGCGACGAGCACTGTCAAGCTCGAACTGTGTGATGGGATGATCAGTGGGGGCAGGGGAGGTAAGAGCAGCACGAACAACAGGCTCAGACGCATCGATGCGGGCCTGCACTGCCTCCTGCATTGGATCTGGTAGTGCCTCAGGGGAGGAAGCTCGTGTCCAGTCCTCCATTAAAGAGCAGGCAAGGGAGGCGGGGTCAGGGTGGGGAGGAGGCCTCCTTCGAGTACCCCGTATAGCATTAATCCGATTCCATACATAAGAGGGTGACGACTGGAACGATAGAGATCCCGTGAAGGATAGCCAGTCCGCCTCACGTATCCGACGGCGCTCCTGAGTTGCAAAGGAGCTCCAATTTTTGAAGTCTTCCCAGTCCTCTGGAGACCGAGACCTCCGTATGGCAGAGTGGAGATCACGGGTTACCTGCCGGAGATGTCTCATGGCAGGGATACGATACCAGTAATTGATGGCACTTCTGGGGTGACGGGGAGGGCGTGGAGGGGTAGCGCGATTGACAGAGTCATACACGGCATCAACAAAATCAGCGCTGTAAGAGTCAAGGGACTGAGGGACAACATAGGAATCCGCCCAGGTAGAAAGGTATTGGGTAAAGGAAGGAACAGCATCTTGTGTGAGACGAAGGCGAGGGGATCGATAAGGAGTTGATGTCGGGGCATAGAAGGAGAGCCTGAGATGGGTAGTAACGGCAAGATGGTCACTATACAGAGCAGGCTCGGTGCAGACGGTAGGATGAAAGGAGGTATGACCGTTCAATAGTAAGCCAACATCAAGGAAACTATGGGGGAGGCGAGTAGGATCGTCAGGACAAAGAAAGCGAACATCATCATCCCCATTAAGAAACTGTGAGAGATGTGATCCATTAAGGGTACATGGAGTGGGATGATCCGGAGTAAGAGTGGGATGGCGGGCATTAAAGTCGCCAAGAACAATAGTGGGAATCTCATCATGGAGGTCGTGAAGAACCTGGGGGTCCAGAGAATCACTCCTGAAATGAACATTGACTACACGAAGGGTCCGGTCACCAAGAGTAAGGGAGACAGAAAGTAATTCAGACGGGGGTCCATGTGAGTCAGGTGAAGGGAGACGAACAGATGGAATGGTGTTACCACAAGGGTGAGGAGGCCACGAGCCTGCCCACGGTACCGAGGCAGGGTGTAAACAGTATAGCCAGAGAGGCGGAGTGGAGTAACATCGTCTGTGATGGTTTCCTGAAGTAGAGCAACATCTACTTGATGGGAGAGCACAAACTGGGCGAGGTCTGTCCGGCGAGGTCTAAGTCCCTGGATGTTCCATTGTAAGAAGAGGAGGGAACGGCCTCCGGTGTGAGATGAGTCGGAGGGGCTAGACAGGGCTCCAGAGGAGGTACCAAATTCTGTTGAGAAAATGGAGAGGGAGGAGTGGGAGAGCGAGGGATGGATCCTCCATCTCGGGAGATGGAAGGAGGCGGGTCACCAGGGCTTGCAAAGTGCGCCCCTGTTGGGTCAGGGTGTCCAGAATGAGTTGTTGTTGCTTCTGCAATGTCGCAATTGTTTTCACAAACAAGTCGAGTTGGGCTGAGAGAAGGTTGATTTGCTTGGAGTGGCGATCCAGACGGAGAGTGATTGTATCCATAGAACCAACTTGGTGTACCTGTACATGAGCTGGAGGTGGCGGCGAGGATTGCCGAGGGCCCGACTGGGCATGTGGTGGTGGTAGCGACGGAGAGGGACGGTGAGGGTTCAGTTGAGTAAGAGGTGGTGGTGCTGGTGAGAGACAGCGGGGGTCCGGGTGGGCAGGAGATGGTGGTGACTGTGTAGCAGGGCCGGCAACGACCTTGTTCCAAGAACGGTAGGGAGAGGGAGGGAGGGGAGAAAGGATGGGTGGTAGGGGTGATAGGGGGGATGGTAGAGGAGAGGAGATCAATGGGAAATCCTTGGTGGATGGAAGAGGCGGTGGTGGATAGGAGTGAGGTTTGGTTGACAGGGGCTTCGTCAGAGACGAGGGCGGTGGTACAAGGTAAGTTTTCCCCGGGCGAGTGCCAGGACGCTGTGGGCAATTGGCATTCCAGGAGTGGTGACTGCCATGGCAATTGACACACCGTGGAATAACTGGGATTTTGTTCTGAATTTTCGATTTGCATTCCACTGTGTCGTGAGGACCTGCACAGAAACCGCAGGCGACCATCCTCGTGCACTCCCAGGTGCGGTGTTTCCACGATTGGCAACGACCACAGATTTTCGGGGTTCCGATAAATCGGTCGAGAGGACAGTTGTGAATTGGTCCTACATTCACCTTCGGGGGGAGGGGGCCCACCCACCAGCCGATGAGTTCGTTGGATGGACGTTTGGAGACCGGGTTGATGCGGCGTTCCATGTCCAGTAGTTGTGGGAGAAGAGGGCGAAGATCGTCGATAGGGATCTCCCAGGGTACGTGGCGAACCATTACCTTGGTACGACGAGTTTCTGGGGTGATGATGGTGAACTTCAGCATCACCTCCCCCTGGGGAGCAGGAAAGCCCACCTGAGTGAGCAGGCGTATCGTATCGTCCATTTATGTGGTGACTATCACGGCTGTGGGACCTCGGCGGAGGCGAAGTGTTGAGTCCTGAAGTGGAGAGCAGTGACGGAAGAACCGGGTCGTCCGTGTGCTCAGAGGCAAGTCCCGAGGGAAGGCGAGACGACGAAGGCGCGACGGGGCAGAGAGACAAAGGGAATCCCTTATGTCCATCGTCGGCGGAGGGTCGGTCATTGAGCCACATGTAGGCTCACTTGGGGACCCCGATGACAGGAGGAGTCCACCCTCTACAGCCCCAGAAGGGGTGCAAGGGGGAGCCGTGGCCCCTGCTGGAGACCCTGACTTCTGAGGTTTCTGCTTCTTCTTTGACGTGTCTTCAAGAAGAAAGTCGTCAGCATCACTGTCACCTACTGCCGCCGTTTCCAACGAACGGGAGCGTTTAACGGCGGGCATAGGGCACGTTGGCAACACTGCAGTCAGGTGGAGTGGTAATGACGTCACTGCTACGTCACACTATCACTTTGCGCATGCGCAAACTTGAAAAACTTTGCTCAGAGGGATCGGGTGGTAGGACCAGATGTTTTATCCTCAAAAAATGACAGTCCAAAAGTAAAACAAAAATATATGCCTCTGTGTTGATAACTGGGTCTTACTATAGTTGTCTGCACATGCGTAACTCAGGCTACGCACGTATGCGCGGCGTTCCTGGCAAGTGATAGGTCAGCAGTTGTATCCACTACAACATGTTGCGGGTCGTCTTGGCTCCCCCTGGGTTACTAGTGTTGGTGCTAGGGGTTACGTTAACGTTGGTCCCCTTCATTAGCGCTGTCATCGTGTGGGAGGATACTTCCCAGTGTGACGCTTATGGCACCTCCATCAAGTGTGACTTTCTCCACAGCCCTGAGGTTAGTAACTGACATTCATCCAAACACCTACTGCACTTCACGGCAGCCATGGGGCTGAAGCCGGCTTCGGTATCGGCTTCAGCTTCGAAGCCACTGGCCGGGCTTCGGATTTGCATCTTTACGCAGCCACGCTGATATTGTATTAATATATCAAATTAGTGGCGCATCCAAAGCGGCGCAATTTTGACTTGACAAGAAACATGGGTTGTCGTGTCGACACCAAAACTACTGACCACCATGTCGGTGACCAGTGCCGACATGAGAACATATTGTCACAGGTCAATCAAGTCATAATCTCCACCCCAGGTAGTGCCAGTACCATACATGAACTGAGAGCCACACTGGCATTACATTATTTACCCCTACTGGTCTATTCTCATAAGGACCTGACCTAAACGGTTGCTTCTCTGTAAGTTGGGACTGTACATTACTATGTTTATGCCTTATGGATAAAATAAACTTCGCGAAGTTAAATTGTTACTATAAGCAATCTTTTTTCAGGCTATAGGGAGAGTCAAAACTTACCCCGAGAGGAATCAGCTTAAAATAAAGTCAGCTTATCTGAAAGCCTTGCTGCAACTTAGATTACCATACATGTAAGGTAATCCAGTATATTATATAAATAATAATGTAAAGGTTTCATGAAGCCTTGTAAAGCTTGTCGCTTAGTCTATTGAAGTTACCTTTGTTTTAGGTGCTTCAGCTGGAGTGTTTTCACCGTTTCATATCTTTCGTAAGTTCCTTTAAATAGGTTCGGTTGACTTAAACCCCAAACGTATATTGCGTAATGTTATGAAACTTTGTGTCGTGTTTTCCTCTGTGCTTGTTCCTTATACTGTACTGTACTTGGTGTGTACAGTACGCGCTAACTATTGAAAGGCTCTATAGAGGGTCTACCTAAGTGAGGTAACATGCCGGTAATCGTCACGGCCAACAAGGTCTACATGATCACCATTTTTTGCTCGCCGTATGGTGTTGTACTCACATCATCAAAGGTCATAATATCAACATAAAAAGTCCTACATACGAAGTGCAGTACAAGCATTACAGCCCCCCCCCCCCAAAAAAAAAGATCATGCAGTTGTGAGAACAAAATAAATTCAAACGGATATAGACGTGTTTAATAATTAAAAAGTAAGGATCCATCCTTAACAAGAAGTATATACTATATATATTGCTGTGTGTGTGTGTGAGCGCGCGCGCGCGCGCGCGAGATGAGATACTGTAATTAATGTTAGTAAAGCACTTAAGGGACTTGAAATGAGCCAGCTGTGCAAACAATTTTCTCATAAGCGTTATCGCACAATTTTTTCCAGGACGCAATAAGCTTCAGTGTTGACTCAGTAAGAGGGGTGTGTTGGAATCAATACACCCGCGGATGCGGCTCTCAAAAGCATATACCCATCGATTTATCCCTTCATACGTTCACCAGCTCACGTGAATGTTTTTCCTGAGAATTCGACCCCCCAACCACTACCTTCTTAAACTACGAAAACAAACTAACAGAGAAGCTTGGGAACCAGGACACGCCGGAGTGGCATTATACTGTACAATTGTACCTCAGGATTTTTAAATGTCGATGAACCTGTGTAATTACTGAACTACAGCTACGCTATTAAAGACCTTTAGTTGTTAAAGCGCGGTATTAACATTCTAACATCAACATTAATAGAGTTAATGAGTCAGGCCTGAGACAGCCAATCACGGGCTTGGCGTAGTAATACTTAATAAAGGACACTGGAGTCGCTCTAGGGCAACTAAACCTTATCTTACTTTACCTGTTCTGAAGTATACCTATGCATATTTACCTGTCCTAATTTAATCTAATTTTACAATAATTAATTATTACAGTGATGATCACTTGAACTGTGTTGCGATTTTCTCAACTGTACAGTATGTGGCGTAGTATATAGTTCAACCAGTGTACTTATTACATAGTGTTTTTTGTACATTCGAGAACATGTCGAGCATTACACTGTACACCTTCATCCATGTTTCTGTTAACACAAGATTTATTGACTTGTCAAAATAAATTGAGATATATTATTTTTTTTTAACTCAAAACCCTTAAGTTTGACGTTAGCCATCACTGGTACTCGTAATATCCAAGATATCAAAACGATAATCATACTTTGATTTTTGTTTATAAAAACGCCCCACAAACGTAACTACACAGTTTGTCAAGTTATTAATCAAAACAACACTCGCAGGGGCGGGGGAAGTTTGACTAGTCACACTGGAGTGAGGTATCAGCGTTTCACTTCCACCTGTTTACACTGGCACACGGCTGGGATTTCCTCGACATTCTTTCTCTTGTTTACGTGGGGGGGGGGTGGGGGGGAATATCCTGGTCACCGGATATGTATAACCCCACGCATTTCCTGTTCATACCAATGGGCACCGCCAGTCCAACAATCTGAGAATGGGGCACACTGCCTCTTACTCTACCTGAGTATTAGTGTACTGACCACGGTCGTACATGGTAGTTAACGTAAAATCAGACGATTCATATTACGCTCAATAGCCCATAAAACATGTAGCTGTAACTTCTTTACGTCCCCCACTTGAGACGTCCGTTTTCTCACCGCGTCAGTACACCTCAGTCTTCCGTTTTCTCTCATGTACCTCAGAGACTTTGATAATTCTTAATGCCTCATATCATGTTCAGAGATTTGAAATTGAGAGAACTCGTAGCAATGGTTTTAAATTAGACAAATTTAGATTTAGGCACGAGATAGGTAAACATTGGTATGGAAATACAGTAGTGGATGAGTGGAACAAGTTACCAAACATCATCATTAACTCGAATACGCTGGATAGCTTCAAACATAGGTTGGATGGATCACTTACACAGGTTGTGAACATGTTGTAATATGTGATTCACTTACACAGGTTGTGAACATGTTGTAATGTGTGGTTCACTTACACAGGTTGTGAACATGTTGTCATGTGTGGTTCACTTACACAGGTTATGAACATGTTGTAATGTGTGATTCACTTACACAGGTTGTGAACATGTTGTTATGTGTGGTTCACTTACACAGGTTGTGAACATGTTGTAATGTGTGGTTCACTTACACAGGTTGTGAACATGTTGTAATGTGTGGTTCACTTACACAGGTTGTGAACATGTTGTCTTGTGTGGTTCACTTACACAGGTTATGAACATGTTGTAATGTGTGATTCACTTACACAGGTTGTGAACATGTTGTAATGTGTGCTACACTTACACAGGTTGTGAACATGTTGTAATGTGTGGTTCACTTACACAGGTTGCGAACATGTTGTTATGTGTGGTTCACTTACACAGGTTGTGAACATGTTGTAATGTGGTTGTGAACATGTTGTAATGTGTGGTTCACTTACACAGGTTGTGAACATGTTGTAATGTGTGGTTCACTTACACAGGTTGTGAACATGTTGTAATGTGTGGTTCACTTACACAGGTTGTGAACATGTTGTAATGTGTGGTTCACTTACACAGGTTGTGAACATGTTGTAATGTGTGGTTCACTTACACAGGTTGTGAACATGTTGTAATGTGTGGTTCACTTACACAGGTTGTGAACATGTTGTAATGTGTGGTTCACTTACACAGGTTGTGAACATGTTGTAATGTGTGGTTCACTTACACAGGTTGTGAACATGTTGTAATGTGTGGTTCACTTACACAGGTTGTGAACATGTTGTAATGTGTGGTTCACTTACACAGGTTGTGAACATGGATGATGCTGTGAACAAGTTCGAGGAGGTGTTAGTGTTGAACGTAAATGAGCTGCAGCTGCACCCTGGTGTGTGCAGCAGCCTGTACCTTCACCACATCAGACGTATCACATACACCAGCAGCAGCCAGCTGGACGCCTCGTGTCCCGGCAAAGCTCTACACCTGATGAACGTCACCATCGACTACGTTCCTCCCTTCCTCCACACCTTCACCATGCAGGACTCCCGCCTCACCCACACCTTCCTCTCCCAGCCTCACCTCAGTAAGCTTAAGCTGTCCACCTCCATAGTGGAACACATCGAGCTGGACTACCCCGTGGCCGGAGATGGACACGTCCGCCTACACAAGGTGAACCTCACCTCTCTCATCTCCCTCACGTTAACTGAACGCTCCAGGCTCTTCATCACTGACTCCGTCATCCACCAGATCCAACCCTCCGCCATCAAGCTGTCTGAGAACACCAGCGCAGAGATCATGAGGACAACTTTCCTCCAAAAAGACGAGGCCAAGATTGAGCTCCAGACGGACGCTACCATTACTATGGCCAACATCACGGGCTGGTTCACCATCGTCTACCACAGGAACAACACTTACAGGCAGGACCAAAGTGACGCTAGCACCTCCCCTGCACCGCTGTGTGTCCCCACAATATATCTCTCTCTCCTTCTGGTGCTCAGCTTATTAGTTAATGTGTGGGTAATGATTAAGGGAAAGTGTTCACCATGTTCACAGGTGAAGGAACGTACATGTTGGGAAGAACCCTCTTGCAAGGGCGAAGAAGGACAACAGCTGGGACCTTCAGACTGACCATTACGGCATTAGGGGCCTGTCCCACAATTGGTTTACCTCAAATCTGTCCAACAGTAAGCAGTATGTCTGCGATAATAATCACCAATCTGATTCCTCGCCAATCTTGTATGGCGTCGCCTAAGGTTCCATTCTCGGTACAGTACTGTTTTTGTTGTACTTAAACGACATAGTCCACGCCAGCACACTCATAAAATACAATTTATTTGCTGACGATAGTAATCTCTATGCCAACAACTCAGACCTCCATTCCTTGATGAGAACTATGAACACAGAATTGACTTAAGTCAGGACCTGGGTAATACGTAATAAACTGACCTTAAACCTCGAGAAAACCCACTACACGATCTTTCACAGAAGGAAAAACTTATCCCCAGACTTGGACTCCCTGTGCCTTGGTAATACAGTCCTCAAACGTGAACAAAATACTAAATTCCTCGGAGTTATTGCTGATGAGAAACTTAACTGGAGAAACCACATACAAGCCATTCACAGTAAAGTCAATAAACAGTGCTGTATCATGTATTACACTCTACAGTCACTCACTCTCACAGCAATGAAAGAAATCTATCATGGTCTTGTTTATCGACACCTGATACACTGTCACACAATATGGGGGGCCTCTGGCTGTTCAAAAACACAATCTCTGGTTGCTGCACAATAGAGAGTTGTATGGACAATGACCTACTTGAAAAAAAAAACAGATCACACAAACGAAAAATTTGCTAAATTGAAAATGTTAAAATTCAAAGATATTAACACCTACTGCTGTGCCCTCTTTGTTTATAATTCTGTCAATCGCTTGCTTGACAATAATTATTTCCAGTTCCGGAATAATCAGAGATACAACTTACGGCACCAAGAGCTGCTAAGACCACCCCCCACGCGTTCCTCTCAGTCCCAGACCTCCTTAAAATATCCTGGTGTGAAGGTGTGGAACAACTTACCCCCACCCATCCGAGCAAAGACTACGCATCCTTACTTTAAATCATCTTTTAAAAAATATATATTGTCTAAGTATTAATGTTTCTTGTAACACCTGCTATATTTACAGTAGCTGCTTTTATTGTAGCATCAAAACCGTTTTATCGGAAATTATCATATAAATAGATAAGAATTTACCATTGCAATAAATATATTTGCCAACTAGACATAATCCTGACAGCTCTGTCCTCTTGTTCAACCTTAATACTGTACAACCCATGTTGTACAGTACTGCTCCCCCATTATACTTATGTCTTTAAATACCACTGTAACTTATGTATTTATAAATAAAAAAGTAAATAAAAAAATAATAAATATAGAAAATAAATAAATATTAAAGTGATAGCCGTGGTAACATCATGAGATGTTCTTATTACCACCATGCTATTGTACTATTTCAGATGATACTAAATGTTACATAATGCTTCCTTGAGATAAATGCCTAAAAGAGAGCTCAGGCTCTCAACTGGCTCAATCATGTTAATATTGTTATTATTATCCAATCTGTATCTGTGTTTTTCTGGCTAAATAAACTGTCTCAATTCAATTGGTTATCTCTAATCTAAGGCTCCAAGGCCAGAGAAACACGTAACCTTTACCTCCCCGCACTACTGCTGCCCTTCCTCGGGTAAGGACAGTATGGTGCCAGTCAATGATTGATGTCCACCAATTTCTTAGTTATAATTATTTTCCAAATCCGACATATAACTTTAAGCTGATACACATTTTTAGGCGATTCAACTGCTCTTATATGCACATTATATTTCATGAAAGCATTAATAGGGTATAATGAAACCATATGCCGTCGTGTCACGTTTCGACCTAGCCTCGCACCGGGTAAACCAAAATGACCTCTTTACACTTATCGTTTTAATGTGGTGATTCTATTGGTATGGTGCTACGAAAGATACTGACAAGTAGTTGACAATGACGTGTAGGTGCGTTATGCCGTTATTAACAAAGAAGGTGGGTGGACAGAATATAAAGTGAAGAAGTTACTTCAGTGAAAACAAGCCTTTTCCAGAAGTCCAGTGCCCAATGCCGACTAAGCAAGACAAGTCTGCTGGCCCTGCTTGTTGTTGTGACCACTAATGGCAGGGGTTTATTTCTTTATGGCAAATTCTTGATCGAGATGAGTGATGGCCTAACTGAGTATTCTCCAGTTTGTAGTCGTAGTCAGTGATTTTTTATCTCTGTTAGTGGAATCGGTAAGCTGCGGTCTTGTACCTCATCTATTGGAAAGGAGGGGGAGGGGGTAGGCTTTTATAGACCCCCCCCCCCGTGGGGGTAAACATGGGGTGATGAAACACCACCCCTTAATAAACATAAAACACCTAAGGGACAAACGAGAGTCTGACAGCTATCAGACCCTTTCCGGGGCTGGTGAGTCACTAAGACTCATCACTCATCTGTGAATAGTCGAAGCCGTGCAATAAGGTGAAATTTGTGTGATGGACGGGTGCAGGAAGGATGTACCAACATCTTAGCTTAGGAGGAGTATGACAATCTGTTATCTAGTGACGCAAAGTTAGATTTTTTATGTAGTCGATGTTTAAATTCTTAGCAATCTATTCCACTAGTAGCAGTGGACACACCAGCTGACTATAAGAGTGACGACCTTAAGTGTTTAGACTTAAGGGACTTCATTTAATATACGTAAATTCTTGACCAATAATGCCCAAGATGTCGGAAAGTAGAATTCAGGCATATATAACCATTTTTATTTTCCATATCAGAATTATGACGGGTGAGGTATGCCAGATTTAATTCCCTTGTTACTCCTGGCAACTTGTCAAGCTTAAATATTTCATGAAATTGCAAGTCTTTGACTTAGCTGGGCTTCAGGAAATTGTATTAATATGGTTTGTATAAAAGACTAACTAAAGGAAAGAAATACATTAGTTTGAGAGGTGATTCTTTACTCAAAAAGTGACACCAGCTGGAGTCCTACTGTGTTCAACTGGGAGAACTGTCAACAGAAACTACACACAAACTTACAGTACGAGAGATAAAGATGAAATTATTAATTTTAAACTTTTAGAGATCTACTAGTGGTACTCTGTTTTACGGAAGAAATTTTTATTGAACGATACAATTCGTGCTTTGACACAATATTTACAACACAAAATACCTACAAGTTGCATAAGAGAATGCCTCAGCTCAGAGTGTGAGCGCTACGTGGCTACTGTGCCCCGCCTGAGGGCTCTACCATGTGGAGCGGCGCGTGGTGGAAAGAACTAAATTTCAGTGTCTTCATGGTTCCACACACAGCAAGTAGCACGTTCCACTGTTTTGATTGACTTTCAGGAAGCAGCAGTAATGTCAGTAGCATCTTCTAGTGTCTTGACTGACTTTCAGGAAGCAGCAGTAATGTCAGTCACATCGTTAGTCGTCATGATTGAGTTTAAGAAGGAAGAGTGACGAGGGTACAGTGGAATGTTATCTTGATTGCCCTTCACGAAGAAGCAGTGATGCCAACAGCAGATTCTGATGTCTTGATTGCCTATTAAGGAACATAAGTAACGTCAGTAGTGAGACAGTCAGTAACGTATTCTGTTCTCAGGAGTGACCTCAAGGAAGCAGTAGTTGCGGCAGATACCTTGTGTGGTGGTTATTCAGCTTCAGACAACAGAGAAGACTCCATTAACTGTGTCGTTGTCTTGTTACTTTGAGGAGAGACGACAGCCGATGGGGATACTGTTGGTGCGCTGCTGGAAGTCAGAAGTCATGAGCATTATTACACTGTCTTGCTGCAGTGGCGGAGACGGGCAAGAACAGCATGGAACAAGGTGAGTGACTGTGTAAACAAGATTCGTGATGAACTGTATGGACATGTCTGAGAAACATGTGTTACTATAAGACATGGGGGCGTGTCTGCTTCATCGTATGGCTGTGAAGAGCTCACTGAAGATGTGTTGGAACGGGGAACATGCAGAATAATAAGGACTGGGGGGGGAGGGGGGGATAGCATCATTGTGATGATTATGGCAAAGCGAAGAATACGATCACTTTAGAACCCCGGTAGAAGGTATTGATGGCTGGCTTGGTGAGCCGTGTGAGGTGGACTCGGCATCAGTAAACCTAAGTTGGAAGGAACTCAGCGGCAGTAGATGACTTGGCGAGACGGTGACGATCTGTGGTGGTGGTCGGCGCTGGTCTTCAGGCAGCCAGAAGGCCACAGTTGGCTATGGTGATCGTCTTAGTGGGTCGATAGACGCTGGTGGAGTCTCCCAGCTGAGTCATCCTGTGGGTTACAAATACGACTTACTTACTGGAAGGAGGATCAAAACAACCATATTCTTAACAGAGCTGGAGAACCTGTTGCCAATGAATCCCAGCGTAATGTGTCTTGTAGCATCGAGCCGTTCAACCAGCGGGTCAAATGTCCTCCTTGGTTATGGGCAAATTGTTACTAAGAATCTGTTAACACTCAAGAAACACTTTCCCTGTGTTACTGTTGATTCATATAATAAATATCTTTAATATAATTTTAAGGCGGGTCTAATGATTGAAGATAGACATGAAACAAAACAAAAGGTCAAGATAAAAATGGTTCCAACAATATATCATGACCATCACAGTAAACGCTCATCTACAGTGACCAAAACAATATCGTGGTGATATTTTAACATTAGGTATAGTTTCAATAATGTTTCCCTGGAATATGAATATATATATCAACAACATGCTCTTCAAAAAATAAATAAATACATACTTATCGACCAGATCAAGACCATCTATGACGTAGGCGAAGACGTGGGTGTAACTGTACTTCTTGACGTGAATGAAGAACTGGGAGCCCACCATCAGGCTGCCTTTGTCGTTGGTCGACATACACAGCATCTCCACCGCTCCTGGCCGAGGCTCCAGCTCTGCCGACACCAACCGTCATTACCTCAGTGACCCGTCAAGTGTGGAACAACGGGTGTGGCCCGTCAGTTGTGGGGTATCAAATGTGGCCTGTCAGGTGTGGGACATCAGGTTCGGTCCGTCAGGTGTGGCCTGCCAGGTGTGGGCTGTCAAGTGTGGGGTAACAGATGTGCCCTGTCAGGTGTGGGGCCCATCAGGTGTGGCCTGTCAGGTGTGGGGCACCAGGTGTGGCCTGTCAGGTGTGGGACATCAGGTTCGGTCCGTCAGGTGTGGGCTGTCAAGTGTGGGGTAACAGATGTGCCCTGTCAGGTGTGGGGCCCGTCAGGTGTGGCCTGTCAGGTGTGGGGCACCAGGTGTGGCCTGTCAGGTGTGAGGCACCAGGTGTGGCCTGTCAGGTGTATATGGTAGGCCTGGGTGTAGCAAGAGGCCGCCCTCCTCGTAAGAAGTAGACCATATGGTTTAAAAGCCTCAGGGTCCAAGAATGATAAAGTAAATATATGAATTGCAAACTCGTGTGCCCCCAGGCCATATACTATACTGTACGAGTGAAATAAAAACAGAGGATTAAGACTCGACCCAGACACAGATATGAACAGCCTCATGTGAACTAAGAAGTCTGGTGTTCAGCTCTTGGGAAGAACACGTCTTTTGAACAAATTGACTAATGAGAAAAGAGTAAATAGCCATTAACATATTAGGGACAGTAAACTACCAACGTATGATTGGTCTAGTCATGATATGGGAGGAGTTATGTTATATGTGGGAAGAGTTATGCCATGTGTGGGAGGAGTTATGCCATATGTGGGAGGAGTTATGTTATACGTGGGAGGAGTTATGTTATATGTGGGAGGAGTTATGTTGTATGTGGGAGGAGTTATGCCATGTGTGGGAGGAGTTATGCCATATGTGGGAGGAGCATGTTATACGTGGGAGGAGTTATGTTATATGTGGGAGGAGTTATGTTATATGTGGGAGGAGTTACGTTGTATGTGGGAGGAGTTGCCATATGTGGGAGGAGTTATGTTATATGTGGGAGGAGTTATGTTGTATGTGGGAGGAGTTATGCCATATGTGGGCGGTGCTCTGATTTTCACCATTTGAGAGATTCTTGAGCATTATTGGTAAGGCTGTGTCCTCTTACCTCCCCCGTGCTGTCTGTCTGTCTCTCTGTCTGTCTGTCTCTCTCCAGTAAATTAAAATCTAGTGAGTCGTTGAACTAAACTATTTTGGTGACTTACTAGCATGGTGACTTACTATCTTGGTGACTTACTATCTTGGTGACTTACTATCTTGGTGACTTACTATCTTGGTGACTTACTATCTTGGTGACTTACTAGCATGGTGACTTACTATCTTGGTGACTTACTATCTTGGTGACTTACTAGCATGGTGACTTACTATCTTGGTGACTTACTATCTTGGTGACTTACTAGCATGGTGACTTAATATCTTGGTGACTTACTATCTTGGTGACTTACTAGCATGGTGACTTACTAGCATGGTGACTTACTATCTTGGTGACTTACTAGCATGGTGACTTACTATCTTGGTGACTTACTATCTTGGTGACTTACTAGCATGGTGACTTACTATCTTGGTGACTTACTAGCATGGTGACTTACTATCTTGGTGACTTACTAGCATGGTGACTACTATCTTGGTGACTTACTATCTTGGTGACTTACTAGCATGGTGACTTACTAGCATGGTGACTTACTATCTTGGTGACTTACTATCTTGGTGACTCTACTAGCATGGTGACTTACTATCTTGGTGACTTACTAGCATGGTGACTTACTATCTTGGTGACTTACTAGCATGGTGACTTACTAGCATGGTGACTTACTATCTTGGTGACTTACTAGCATGGTGACTTACTATCTTGGTGACTTACTAGCATGGTGACTTACTATCTTGGTGACTTACTATCTTGGTGACTTACTAGCATGGTGACTTACTATCTTGGTGACTTATTATCTTAGTGACTTACTATCTTGGTGACTTACTATCTTGGTGACTTACTATCTTGGTGACTTACTATCTTGGTGACTTACTAGCATGGTGACTTACTATCTTGGTAACTTACTATCTTGGTGACTTACTAGCATGGTGACTTACTATCATGGTGACTTACTATCATGGTGACTTACTATCTTGGTGACTTACTATCTTGGTGACTTACTATCTTGGTGACTTACTATCTTGGTGACTTACTAGCATGGTGACTTAGTATCTTGGTGACTTACTATCTTGGTGACTTACTAGCATGGTGACTTAGTATATTGTTTATCTGACCATAAGCTAATGCCATGACTGAATAACTTCAGCTTGTATTCTGTAAGTGTTGAGTGCTGTGGTGATCAACTAACTTGTATAAGCAGCTGGCTTGTTCAAACTTCTACATCGTTATCTTCCTTTCTTACTACCCCCACCAATTCCCCATATCTCTTTTCTTTCCCAGCTTCTCCTTCCTCCGTCACCATAGGGCCTCTCTCTCTCAACTGTGATCTGGGTGTATAAAGTACTGCTGGAGAGCGGGAGGTTACAGGAGTTCAGGTTACAATGTGCTCGTCCTCTGCCGCATGCATGTGGATTGAGTCTGGGGTAGCTGTGTGTGTGTCCTGCCTGACTGACGACCGAGGAACAACTCAACTGGACACATAGATTATACAATTTGGGTCGTAGTCGGCCAGTTTACCTGTGGTGCTACAATACCTGTGGTCTCAGCGCTGATGAGCTCGTCATCACCCAGGGCAGCACGCCCGCCCTCTCCGTCGTTGGATTGAAATCTCCTCCCTGAGCCACCAACAGGGAGACACGGAACACCTGACTGCCGCGGTATCCGAACCCCTGACCCCGTACACAGCAGAGTGAAGTTCTCCACATAGCTTGGGTGCCATGTCTGGCCTCAGCTCAATAACCACCCGTGCTGTTTGCTGCGGAGGTAAGGAGTCATAACGTACATGAAAATGAAGGTTTAATTACTTCAAAATATATTGAACGTATGTTAAGTGTTTTTAAGGTACAGCACTCAGTTTCCTGCCACCAAATAGTACTGTAATGTTGACCAAACTTTAGTTAGGGTAGTTTAGTCTTTATAAAGGTTTGGTTTGGTTGATCCATCTTGGGTTGGGTGAGGTTTTCATCAGGTTACGTTAAGCAAGGATAGATTATTGTGTGTTAAATCTGGGATAAACTGACTTTTCCTTCAACGCTCTGCAGTTCTGAACCAATAATCAACATAATAATCACAACATTCAACATATATAACATAAGTAAGGGAGATAAGATAACGATTCGAAAGTTTGACCAAATGAAGTTGTATTTTTGTGAAGCTAAGATATTTAATGTGTGTGTGTGTGTGTGTGTGGATTGTATGATACACTCACCTGTATGCCCTCGATGCTCAGGTCAAGGAAGACTCTAGGAGAGGCTGTATGGTGGGGATGGGCGCCCAGGCTGAGGGCGGGCCGCAACATGGCCACCTTGTTAGCCCCTGCCGTTGGCCAGACGTCTGCTGCTGTAGTGGCCCGCCAGGCTCTGACTGCGACGGTCCACAGCCTCAGGCCGGGCTACTGGGCGACCTGCTGCCCACACTATCCCGTCAACACTATACCCCCACCATCCTACCACCATAACCCTTCACCATGGTAACACTATAAGCCTTCACCATGGTAACACTATAAGCCTTCACCATGGTAACACTATAACATTTCACCATGGTAACTCTATAAGCCCTCACCATGGTAACACCATAACCTTCACCATGGTAACACTATAAGCCTTCACCATGGTAACACTATAAGCCTTCACCATGGTAACACTATAAGCCTTCACCATGGTAACACTATAAGCCTTCACCATGGTAACACTATAAGCCTTCACCATGGTAACACTGTAAGCCTTCACCATGGTAACACTATAAGCCTTCACCATGGTAACACTGTAGCCTTCACCATGGTAACACTATAAACCTTCACCATGGTAACACTTAAGCCTTCACCATGGTAACACTATAAGCCTTCACCATGGTAACACTATAACCTCACCATGGTAACACTATAAGCTTCTCACCATGGTAACATCTATAAGCCTTCACCATGGTAACACTATGCTTCACCATGGTAACACTATAGCCTTCACCATGGTAACACTATAAGCCTTCACCATGGTAACACTATAAGCCTTCACCATGGTAACACTATAAGCCTTCACCATGGTAACACTATAGCCTTCACCATGGTAACACTATAAGCCTTCACCATGGTAACACTATAAGCCTTCACCATGGTAACACTTAAGCCTTCACCATGGTAACACTATAACCCTTCACCATGGTAATATAAGCCTTCACCATGGTAACACTATAAGCCTTCACCATGGTAACACTATAACCCTTACCATGGTAACATTAAGTCTTCACCATGGTAACACTATAAGCCTTCACCATGGTAACACTATAACCCTTCACCATGGTAACACTATAAGCCTTCACCATGGTAACACTATAAGCCTCACCATGGTAACACTATAAGCCTTCACCATGGTAACATAAGCCTTCACCATGGTAACACTATAGCCTTCACCATGGTAACACTATAGCCTCACCATGGTAACACTATAGCCTCACCATGGTAACACTAAAGCCTTCACCTGGTACACTATAAGCCTTCACCATGGTAACACTATAAGCCTTCACCATGGTAACACTATAAGCCTTCACCATGGTAACACTATAAGCCTTCACCATGGTAACACTGTAAGCCTTCACCATGGTAACACTATGTCCTCACCATGGTAACACTATAAGCCTTCACCATGGTAACACTATAACCTTTACCATGGTAACACTATAAGCCTTCACCATGGTAACACTATAAGCCTTCACCACGCTATTAACACTGGCTAGAGAATAAGATAATTAAACAATGTCCTTTACAAGCCTTGGGTTACCTGCACTCTCGCCCTACAATGTTTTGGTTCATTCATGTCTGAAATGTCTACTGTCCACGTCTGCTTGTTGCCAGCCTGTAAAAGTGTCCGTGTGGGTCGGCAACAGAATGTTTTGACACCAGCCAGGATATTGTTTTCAGCCAATAGGTGAAGTAAAGTAGTTTGGTGTACAAAACTCAATATCCTGGGTGATACTGGACACACCAAAGACTGGAAGGTTAGAGACAGACTAAGAAAGGTGGCAAACATTGTACTGCGTCTGAAAGTGTGTTGTTAGTCGTGATATTGAATGTTTGTGGTAGATTAATGATTCATGCCCGTATATTATGGGTAAATTACCTTAATAACAAAGATTAGAGTGGATCTACAGGATGATGTAAAACGCCCGCTGTCAGCCAAGAGGAACACTTTTACAGGCCGGTAACAAGTAGAAATGGCAGCTAGACACCACTTCAAAATACAGTATATAGAGTCAAACCTGAAAACCCCTTTGGGACGAGAGTACAGCCAACACCTACAGTATATCAGGAACCTTCTAGATTTCAACTCAAAAGGTCTATTAGTGATTTTTCTACCTATTCTTATTGTAAAAATATTTATTTAAATTTAGGAGGAATAATTTAAATATTGATAAAATATTCACACTACTTTAAAAATGGCGGGAACAATACGAGACAAGAGTACTGTAGGAAGTAATTGGGATGGAAGAGACCTCGGTGTTACTGTTACTTCATGTGTTACTGTTACTTTGTGTTACTGTTGTTTACAGTGTTACTGTCATTTGTGGTACTGTTACTTAAAGTGTTACTGTTACTTCAAGTGTTATTGTTACTTCATGTTACTGTTATTTTATGTTACTGTTACTTCAAGTGTTACTGTTATTATCGTTTTACTGTTACTGTGTTACTGTTACTGTGTTACTGTTACTTCAGGCGTTACTGTTCATTCCTGAAAATAATTTTTTGTTGCAATTAAAAATTATGAACTTTACTTAACGACACAACCATGACACAAAATATAGAAGAGTTTTAGGCTTTAACTGACAGCACTCTATGACACCTCAGGGCAAGACTTTCAAAGGATCGTACAAATAATGTTACTCGTGTCCCAAGATATAAGAATGCTAATAGATTGACTGTTCTTCAACACAACAGGGGAGATCAAACACAAGTACCTGTTCCGTCTACTCACCCAAGCGACCCCCAGGTTGTCAAAGACTTATGATATATGAAACAGGACGGTGTGAACGGATGGAGGTTATGATATAGGAACAACAGTGTGTCCTCGTGACCACTGTCTACATTGAGATGAAGCAACCATCGATGACATAAATTTTACGCATAAATGTGAGGATGTTGAAACTTGCCAGTTACCACACCACCATCTATTAAAGTTGTTATTTTCTTCTGCGTTTTGTTCAGTTTGAATTATAATAACCTCACAATAAAAGGCGAAGTGTGTGTTATGGATGGCCGTACTGAAATCACCTACCCTGGTGTAACGACGATTCTGTACAACGTTTGGCAAGGAACCACCAACCCGGAAGAGACTTGTACTCATGGATGAAGCATTTGAGGAGACTGGACACCGAGATCGCCTCAACTTACCCTCTGATTTTTCTTTGGGGTTAAAAGTCCAAAATGTACTCCGTCACCCCTCGATGAGGGAGTGAATTGCGTACTGTTGTGATTTAGTCTGTGCTACGGACGGCCTGTTGAAGGTCTACCGTACCACCCTAGTGATATGTACCGTACCCTAGTGATATGTTCCGTACCCTATGATATGTTCCAATCCTAGTGATATGTACCATACCCTAGTGATATGTTCCGTACCCTGTGATATGTTCCATCCTAGTGATATGTACCGTACCCTAATGATATGTACTGTACCCTAGTGATATGTTCCGTACCCTAGTGATATGTACTGCAATCCTAGTGATATGTACCGTACCCTAGTGATATGTTCCGTACCCTAGTGATATGTACCGAACCTAGTGATATGTACCGTACCCTAGTGATATGTTCCGTACCCTAGTGATATACTGCACCCTAGTGATATGTACCGTACCCTAGTGATATGTACTGTACCCTAGTGATATGTACCGTACCCTATGATATGTACCACTGCACCTCAGTGATATGTACCTGTACCCTAGTGATATGCACCGCACCAGTGATATGTTCCGTACCCTAGTGATATACTGCAAACCCTAGTGATAATGTACCGTACCCTAGTGATATGTACCGTACCCTAGTGATATGTACCGTACCCTAGTGATATTTTACCGTACCCTAGTGATATGTACCGTACCCTAGTGATATGTACCGTACCCTAGTGATATGTACCAGTACCCTAGTGATATGTACCGTACCCTAGTGATATGTACCGTACCCTAGTGATATGTTCCGTACCCTAGTGATATGCACCATCTAGTGATATGTACCGTACCCTAGTGATATGTTCCGCATCTAGTGATATGTACCGTACCCTAGTGATATGTACCGTACCCTAGTGATATGTTCCGTACCCTAGTGATATGTACCGTACCCAGTGATATGTACCGTACCCTAGTGATATGTACCGTACCCTAGTGATATGTACCGCACTCAGTGATATGCACGTACCTAGTGATATGTACCGTACCCTAGTGATATGTACCGAAAATTTAGTGATATGTACTGCACCCTAGTGATATGTACTGCACCAGTGATATGTACCGCAACCTAGTGATATGTACCGTACCCTAGTGATATTGTACCGTACCCTAGTGATATGCAACCGTACCAAGTGATATGTACTGCATTTCCTAGTGATATGTACCGTACCCTAGTGATATGTACCGTACCCTAGTGAT